GAATAAAAATAGTTGTATGTAATGTTAAAAACTGAATAAATATAATATATAACAAATGCCAGTAATCACTTTTTATCATGTACACTCGAAATACAGAATGTAAAAAAATTAACTGCCAGTTCAAACAGAATTTAAATATATTTAATTTATCTAAACTTATTTTTAGGTATTATATAAAAATAATAATAATCTGAAGAACGGCATACAGAATTCATGCACAAGAATCTAATAATAATCGATACAATTCATTGCAATTAACATCCCTACTTCTGAAAAACATATTTTTTGCTACTTCAAATTATTTTAATTTTATAAAATTTACTACATTTATGAAATTATAATAAATATTTATTTTTCTTTTATCAATACACTTTCAAGATACATAGCAAATAAAGTAAATAAATGAAATGAAATCATTAAACAAAATTAGTTGTTGAAACAATTTTTCAAAGCATATATATTAACAATTAACTTCAAATTATTTATTCTAAGATTCTTTTTTAATTATGTGGAATAAATATTTCTTTTGGCAATTTTGCCTGGGAATTTATTATGAAAAACAATTCTAGAATAGCTTATCCATTAAGTTATGACATGTGACACAGATAATTCACTATGCAATGCTGATTTTGAAATTGTTCTAGAATCTAAAACATTTTAAATTTTAAAGAAGAAGAAAAAAAATTCAAAGACATCTCAGATAAACAGCAGAAGTTTATCATCATTATTATTACTATACTACATAATTCCTAAGATAGGAATGAAGAAAATATATTGAAATGTTAAAATGTGTTAAATAATGTGATAATGTAAACAAGGTCTGTAAAAATTTACAATGTTTTATAAACTAAAAGTTTCTTTAAAATGTTAATAAAGAAGCTTTAACATGTTTTAAAACTTCTTCCTTTTCATTATAATTGCTCTTAGTGTGTACAGTTTTTTTATGATCACGTAATCATTACTAAAGTTTCTTCAAACTTTTTACATCTTTTAAAGGTTATATTTTTAAGAGAACTTTAAAACGACAAATACGTTTAAAAGTATACAATGTTAACAGTGGCGTAACGAACATAACTGGCGCCCGGGGCACGGCACTTTTTTGGCACCCCTCCCCCAAATCTTGTTTGTCTTGGAGATCATTTGGTGCCCCTATGCAAGTGGTGCCCGGGGCACGATAGACCCCAGTGCTTCTTCTTTGCTACGCTAGTGAATGTTAAAAATAATTGTTCTTGATACTATGATGTTGATTTTTATACCAAGATACTGAAATTAAATGTTTTTCTTTTTGAAATTGTTCAATTTGCAAATTTTTTTCAATGTTTTCATAGTTTTTTTTATTTACTTTATAATCAGATTTCACCAGTATACTCTGAAAGAGAGAGCTTCTTACTACAAGATAATAACTGATAAAAATTAAATATTTAT